CCCAAAAATATTTTTCTTTGGACATTTCCTTTCAACATCGGTAACTTCCCCTTGCAGAGATTCCGACTCGAACCTGTACCAAAGAACGAATACGGAGAATTTTACATCGGGGATGCTTACGTCTGTATGTATGTGGGTGACTTCATGTTCTGTGACTCATCCTATTTACAACGTTTGTTGCTTAGTCATTGACTATTCAGACAAAATACGAAGCATGGGATATTCACTTCTGGATCGGTGAGGGTGCCACTCCGGATGAAGTCGGGGCCGCTGCCATCACTGCTGTTCAAATCGATCAAGCCTTAGGCGGTTTCCCGGTACAGCACAGGGAAGTGCAAAACCACGAATCATCACTATTTCTGTCCTACTTCCCCAATGGGATACGGTAGGATTACTGTATAATGAGGTGCGAGGCTCTGTATTCGTGTGCAGATATATCATGGGTGGATACGATTCCGGTTACCATCATGTAGAGGGTCTGTTCGACAATTTCAAGCCTCGATTATATCACTGTAAAGGCAAAAGGAATGTCAGGTGCACGGAGGTACCTTCAGTCTCACTCTTTTCGAACAATATTGGGAGAGCATGATTTTAATCAGTTGCTCGCCATTTAGGTAGAGTTCAAGAAACAATCTCTCAATCTTGGCGATGTTTTCTTACTCGATTTGGGCAAAGACATCTACGTATGGATGCCACCAAAGAGTGGAAGACTGGAAAGGATCAAGGTTAAATTATTCCATATGTCCGTCCATGTAATGTTGAAAATTTTTTCCAGGGTATGGCTCGTGCTAAAAACATCGCTTTTGATGAAAGAAATGGAGCAAGCTCTGTTCATGTTCTCGGTCAGCACAAATTTCTACCTTTACTTAGATTTTAGAAACTCTCGTTAAATAGATTCTGACTGGGATACGGACGAAGACTTCTGGTCACATTTTGGAGGACCAAGCACTGTGAAAAGCGTTGCTGCTGCTCAGGATGACGACGAAAACTATTGGAAGAGAACTACAGAACAAATGACATTATGGAGGCAAGCATAATGTATTTTCTTTGCTGAGATATTGTAGCACTCAAAATGTAGCTGTGTTAACGCTATTGTTTAGTCTTTTCAAGTTTTTTGACAAATTTAATGCGCATTCGCTTTGTTACAGAGTCTCAGACGCCTCTGGAACAATGAAATTAACAAAAATTGCGCAAGGCGAACTTGAGCGAGGTCTTTTGGACACGAAGGCTGGTGGTTTAATCACTGTCGTCTATCAAAAGTAATATACATACACAAGATTAAAAGTTTTAGGACGCCTTCATCCTGGATGCTGTCAATGGTGGGGTTTTTGTTTGGGTCGGCAAAGGCTGTACTATGGACGAACGATCCAAAGCAATGATCTGGGGAGAGCAATTTCT